CTGGGGGTTGATGTCACACTGGGGGTTGATATCACACTGGAGGTTGATATCACACTGTGGGTTGATATATGACACTGGAGGGTGATATCACACTGGAGGTTGATATCACACTGGAGGTTGATATCACACTTTGGGGTTGATATGACACTGGAGGTTGATATCACATTTTCGGGGTTGATATCACACTGGATGTTGATATCACACTGGAGGTTGATATCACATTGGGGGTTGATATCACACTGGGGGTTGATATCACACTGGGGGTTGATATCACACTGGAGGTTGATATCACACAGGAGGTTGATATCACACGGGGTTGATATCCCATTGGGGGTTGATATCACTCTGGAGGTTGATATCACACTGGGGTTGATATCACACTGGGGGTTGATATCACACTGGAGGTTGACATCACACAGAAGGTTGACATCACACTGGGGGTTGATATCACACTGGAGGTTGATATCCCACTGGGTGTTGATATCACTCTGGAGGTTGATATCACACTGAGGGTTGATGTCACACTGAGGGTTGATGTCACACTGAGTGTTGATGTCGCTCTGGGGGTTGATGTCACACTGGGGGTTGATATGACACTGGAGGTTGATATCACAATGGGGGTTGAAATCACTCTAGAGGTTGATATCACACTGGAGGTTGATATCACACTGGGGGTTGATATCACTCTAGAGGTTAATATCACACTGGGGGTTGATATCACACTGGATGTCGATATCACACTGGGGGTTGATATCCCACTGGGGGTTGATATCACACTGGAGGTTGATATCACACTGTGGGTTGATATCACACTGGGGGATGATATCACACTGGAGGTCGATATCACACTGGGAGTTGATATCACACTGGGGGTTGATATCACTCTAGAGGTTGATATCACACTGGAGGTTGATATCACACTGGGGGTTGATATCCCACTGGGGATTGATATCACACTGGAGGTTGATATCACACTGGGGGTTGATATTACACTGGAGGTTGATATGACACTGGAGGTTGATATCACACTGGGGGTTGATATCACTCTAGAGGTTGATATCACACTGGAGGTTGATATCACACTGGGGGTTGATATCACACTGGATGTCGATATCACACTGGGGGTTGATATCCCACTGGGGGTTGATAGCACACTGGAGGTTGATATCACACTGGAGGTTGATTTCACACTGTGGGTTGATATCACACTGGGGGTTGATATCACACTGGAGGTCGATTTCACACTGGGAGTTGATATCACACTGGGGGTTGATATCACTCTAGAGGTTGATATCACACTGGAGGTTGATATCACACTGGGGGTTGATATCACACTGGAGGTCAATATCACACTGGGGGTTGATATCACACTGGGGGTTGATATCACACTGGAGGTTGATATCACACAGGAGGTTAATATCACACGGGGTTGATATCCCATTGGGGGTTGATATCACTCTGGAGGTTGATATCACACTGGGGTTGATATCCCACTGGGGATTGATATCACACTGGAGGTTGATATCACACTGGGGGTTGATATTACACTGGAGGTTGATATGACACTGGAGGTTGATATCACACTGGGGGTTGATATCACTCTAGAGGTTGATATCACACTGGAGGTTGATATCACACTGGGGGTTGATATCACACTGGATGTCGATATCACACTGGGGGTTGATATCCCACTGGGGGTTGATAGCACACTGGAGATTGATATCACACTGGAGGTTGATTTCACACTGTGGGTTGATATCACACTGGGGGTTGATATCACACTGGAGGTCGATATCACACTGGGAGTTGATATCACACTGGGGGTTGATATCACTCTAGAGGTTGATATCACACTGGAGGTTGATATCACACTGGGGGTTGATATCACACTGGAGGTCAATATCACACTGGGGGTTGATATCCCACTGGGGATTGATATCACACTGGAGGTTGATATCACACTGGGGGTTGATATCACACTCTCTACCCGATTCTTGAAGGATAATACTTCACACATTTGGTTTCACGTAGTCACCTACTTGTACTCACCTAGTTGTGCTTGTCGGGGTTAAGCTTCGGCTCTCTGGTCCCGCCTTTCAACTGTCAAGCAATTGAGTTGTGTCAATCACCTTGTGTCCGACCTCTTGTTCCCAGCACATTTACATCACCTGGCACTTTAGTTTAACTCTGTTAATCATATGTCGGTTTATGATTGGTTTTCGAATGAAGTACACCTCATCTGTACCGTATATCGCAAACGTAACAGCACACAGTCGTGCAATAACTCATGAACATACAGGTGTTGGAGAAACATGTGTTCTGGGACACCTGTTGTCGAGGTGTGTGTGGACTGCTGTACACCTGTATAGTGTTTGAGAGAGCTACCGCCACGGTTCCTGTGCTTCTACACTACTATTGCCTGCAGGCTAACTTTCCTTCCTATTTTTCTGTCCTTGCCTTTGCCAGTTCAGCATGCGACTATATCTATCCTGTGAGTCAGCATGCGACTATATCTATCCTGTGAGTCAGCATGCGACTATATCTATCCTGTGAGTCAGCATGCGACTATATCTATCCTGTGAGTCAGCATGCGACTATATCTATCCTGTGAGTCAGCATGCGACTATATCTATCCAGTGAGTCAGCATGCGACTATATCTATCCTGTGAGTCAGCATGCGACTATATCTATCCTGTGAGTCAGCATGCGACTATATCTATCCTGTGAGTCAGCATGCGACTATATCTATCCTGTGAGTCAGCATGCGACTATATCTATCCTACGAGTTAGCATGCGACTATATCTATCCTGTGAGTCAGCATGCGACTATATCTATCCTGTGAGTCAGCATGCGACTATATCTATCCAGTGAGTCAGCATGCGACTATATCTATCCAGTGAGTCAGCATGCGACTATATCTATCCAGTGAGTCAGCATGCGACTATATCTTTCCTGTGAGTCAGCATGCGACTATATCTATCCAGTGAGTCAGCATGCGACTATATCTATCCTGCGAGTTAGCATGCGACTATATCTATCCTGTGAGTCAGCATGCGACTATATCTATCCAGTGAGTCAGCATGCGACTATATCTATCCAGTGAGTCAGCATGCGACTATATCTATCCAGTGAGTCAGCATGCGACTATATCTATCCAGTGAGTCAGCATGCGACTATATCTATCCAGTGAGTCAGCATGCGACTATATCTATCCTGTGAGTCAGCATGCGACTATATCTATCCAGTGAGTCAGCATGCGATTATATCTATCCTGTGAGTCAGCATGCGACTATATCTATCCAGTACGTTACCATGGGACTATATCTATCCAGTGGACGTAGGAGGAAAATAGTGAAGGTGGCCCGGGGCGGCCCGCTGGACCACGTGGCCCACCTCACTCACTGCAGCTGGGGCTCCTACTCCCAGGGCCTCACTGTTCACTGTACGACGTCCCTCATGGAGCCACCTGTGATGAGTGTGTCAAGTGTGAGCTTGTGTAGTGATGAGTGTGTCAAGTGTGACCTTGTGTAGTGTTGATGGGGTCAAGTGTGACCTTGGGTAGTGATGACGGGGTCAAGTGTGACCTTGTGTAGTGATGAGGGGTCAAGTGTGACCTTGTGTAGTGATGAGTAGGTCAAGTATGACCTTGTGTAGTGATGAGTAGGTCAAGTATGACCTTGTGTAGTGATGAGTAGGTCAAGTATGACCTTGTGTAGTGATGAGTAGGTCAAGTGTGACCTTGTGTAATGATGAGGGAGTCAAGTGTGACCTTGTGTAGTGATGAGGGAGTCAAGTGTGACCTTGTGTAGTGTTGAGTGTGTCAAGTGTGACCTTGTGTAGTGATGAGGGAGTCAAGTGCGACCTTGTGTAGTGTTGAGTGTGTCAAGTGTGACCTTGTGTAGTGATGAGGGAGTCAAGTGCGACCTTGTGTAGTGATGAGTGTGTCAAGTGTGACCTTGTGTAGTGATGAGTAGGTCAAGTATGACCTTGTGTAGTGATGAGGGGGTCAAGTGTGACCTTGTGTAGTGATGAGGGGGTCAAGTGTGACCTTGTGTAGTGATGAGGGAGTCAAGTGTGACCTTGTGTAGTGATGAGTGTGTCAAGTGTGACCTTGTGTAGTGATGAGGGGGTCAAGTGTGACCTTGTGTAGTGATGAGTAGGTCAAGTATGACCTTGTGTAGTGATGAGGGGGTCAAGTGTGACCTTGTGTAGTGATGAGGGGGTCAAGTGTGACCTTGTGTAGTGATGAGTGCGTCAAGTGTGACCTTGTGTAGTGATGAGGGGGTCAAGTGTGACCTTGTGTAGTGATGAGGGGGTCAAGTGTGACCTTGTGTAGTGATGAGGGGGTCAAGTGTGACCTTGTGTAGTGATGATGGGGTCAAGTGTGACCTTGTGTAGTGATGAGGGGGTCAAGTGTGACCTTGTGTAGTGATGAGGGGGTCAAGTGTGACCTTGTGTAGTGATGAGTGTAATGGCAGGAGTTGAGAATACGAAGGTGACGACCCGGGGAGGAGATTGACTGAGCAGGTTACAGGTGTACACGACAGAGGAGGTTACAGGTTTACATGAGAGGAAGTAACAGGTGTACATGGCAGAGCAGGTTACAGGTGTGCATGACAGAGGTGGATACAGGTGTGCATGACAGAGAAGGATACAGGTGTACATGAGAGGAAGTGACAGGTGTACATGACAGAGAAGGTTACAGTTGTGCATGACTGAGTGAAACACAATATATATAAAGAACGGGTTTAAGGAAAATGGTTAAATATATTATGGGTAACTATGACGTGTATTTAAGGGTTCATGGACAATTGCACTATTAACTGTGCGTTGAGTTGTATGGTAAACATTGAGAACAATTGTACCATGAACTACGAGGATAATTGTACCATAAATTATGAGGACAACTGTACCATGAGCTGTGGGTACAACTGTACCACGAGTAAGTAATGTTCTAACAAATATAGTGCAAAGATTAATACATTATAATTAATATTAGGGACATATTGGAGAATTTCTACGAGTACAAATGCTGAGGACACGTGATGACACGTGATGACATCTGAGGACACCTGAGGACACCTGAGGACATCTGAGGACACCTGAGGACACCTGAGGACACCTGAGGACACTTAAAGACACCTGAGGACACCTGAGGACACTTAAAGACACATGAGAACACACAAACTTTAGGCAAATATTCACTACAAAGAAGAAAATAAGAGAGAGAGATAAAGTCTGCAAGAACTTCAATAATGGTGGTGCTGCCAAGCTCCCAAGTCATGGCGGTACATATAGAAGTCAAGTCAGTGGAGAGCGAGGAAGTCAAGGCTTCCGTCGGCTCCCGGAAGGAAGTCACGGCCTTGCTGCAGCCTCCTGAACCGCTGACACTGGCGAGGAAGTCTGACGTCAGGAAGTCCATGATCTTGATCATCGCTACCCTTCTCATGGAGGTATGTTGCGTGCACGTGTTGATGTGTGACGTGCACTTGTGTGTTACGTGCACGTGTTGATATGTGACGCGCACTTGTTGTGTGTTACATGTACGTGTTGATGTGTGACGTGCACTTGTTGTGTGTTACGTGCACGTGTTGATGTGTGACGCGCACTTGTTGTGTGTTACGTGCACGTGTTGATGTGTGACGGGCACTTGTTGTGTGTTACGTGCACGTGTTGATGTGTGACGGGCACTTGTTGTGTGTTACGTGCACGTGTTGATGTGTGACGGGCACTTGTTGTGTGTTACGTGCACGTGTTGATGTGTGACGCGCACTTGTTGTGTGTTACGTGTACGTGTTGATGTGTGACGGGCACTTGTTGTGTGTTACGTGCACGTGTTGATGTGTGACGGGCACTTGTTGTTTGTTACGCGCACGTGTTGGCATGTGTCGTGCGCGTGATGGCATGTGACGTGCACGTGCTGTTGTGTAACGTGCACATTTTGGTATGTGACGTGCACGTGTTGATGTGGGACGTGCACGTGATGATGTGGGACGTGCACGTGTTGGCATGTTTCGTGAACGTGTTGGCATGTTTCGTGCACGTGTTGGCCTGGGGAGTGCACGTGTTGGCATAGGACGTGCACGTGTTGGCATGGGACGTGCACGTGTTGGCATGGGACGCGCACGTGTTGGCATAGGACGTGCACGTGTTGGCATGGGACGTGCACGTGTTGGCATGGGAGGTGCACGTGTTGGCCTGGGGAGTGCACGTGTTGGCATAGGACGTGCACGTGTTGGCATGGGACGTGCACGTGTTGGCATGGGACGCGCACGTGTTGGCATAGGACGTGCACGTGTTGGCATGGGACGTGCACGTGTTGGCATGGGAGGTGCACGTGTTGGCATGGGGCGCGCACGTGTTGGTACAATAAACACATTAAGCCCCCATCAACCCCAGAAGGGTCACTAAAGGTCACCACTAACACCATACTGACCAACCACCACCACTACATATTCCCAAATATAGTCCAGGACCAAATTAAATTCTCAGTGTATATACGCCGAGAAACAAAGTCGACCTCTCAGTGTATATATTCCATGTTAGAAACAAATACATATGTAATTATTCTGACGCCTCTTGCAAGGATCTTAGTATATTGTTTGGTTATATTTCCTACACTGGTGCACTAAAGTCTTCTCTTAAAAGTCCGTTTATCTAATCATAACAGATAGTCTTTATCGTCTATAGAATTGGCAATTTTAACATTAGGTATATGGCAATTATGTCAATATTTCTTGACCTTCACCGTCCTACTGTGTATCTTCTTAACAGTAACTTATAAAAATTTGGAGTGCCTAAGGTGTAGACATGTGTGGTCTGGTTGTAGTGCCTGGTGTCTGGTTGTAGAGCCTGGTGACTGGTTGTAGAGCCTGGTGACTGGTTGTAGAGCCTGGCGATTGGTTGTAGAGCCTGGTGACTGGTTGTAGAGCCTGGTGTCTGGTTGTAGAGCCTGGTGACTGGTTGTAGAGCCTGGTGAATAGTTGTAGAGCCTGGTGACTGGTTGTAGAGCCTGGTGAATAGTTGTAGAGCCTGGTGACTAGTTGCAGAGCCTGGTGAATAGTAGTAGAGCCTGGTGACTGGTTGTAGAGCCTGATGACTGATTGAAGTGACTGGTGACTGGTTGTTGAGCCTGGTGACTTGTTGTAGAGCCTGGTGACTGGTTGTAGAGCCTGGCGACTGGTTGTAGACCTTGGTGACTGGTTGTTGAGCCTGGTGACTGGTTGTAGAGCCTGGTGACTGGTTGTAGAGCCTGGTGACTGGTTGTAGACACTGGTGACTGGTTGTAGAGACTGGTGACTGGTTGTAGAGCCTGGTGACTGGTTGTAGAACCTGGCGACTGGTTGTAGAGCCTGGTGACTGGTTGTAGACACTGGTGACTGGTTGTAGAGCCTGGTGACTGGTTGTAGACACTGGTGACTGGTTGTAGAGCCTGGTGACTGGTTGTAGAGCCTGGCGACTGGTTGTAGACCTTGGTGACTGGCTGTAGAGCCTGGTGACTGGTTGTAGAGCCTGGTGACTGGTTGTAGAGCCTGACGACTGGTTGTAGAGCCTGGTGACTGGTTGTAGAACCTGGTGAATGGTTGTAGAGCCTGGTGACTGGTTGTAGAACCTGGTGACTGGTTGTAGAGCCTGGTGACTGGTTGTAGAGCCTGGTGACTGGTTGTAGAGCCTGGTGACTGGTTGTAGAGCCTGGTGACTGGTTGTAGAACCTGGCGACTAGTTGTAGAACCTGGTGACTGGTTGTAGGGCCTGGTGACTGGTTGTAGAGATTGGTGACTGGTTGCAGAGCCTGGTGACTGGTTGTAGAGCCTGGTGACTGGTTGTAGAACCTGGCGACTAGTTGTAGAACCTGGTGACTGGTTGTAGGGCCTGGTGACTGGTTGTAGAGCCTGGTGATTGGTTGCAGAGCCTGGTGACTGGTTGTAGTGCCTGGTGACTGGGTTTGTAGAGCCTGGTGACTGGTTGTAGAGCTTAGTGACTGATTGAAGTGACTGGTGACTGGTTGTAGAGCCTGGTGACTGGTTGTAGAGCCTGGTGACTGGTTGTAGAGCCTGGTGACTGGTTGTAGAGCCTGGTGACTGGTTGTAGAGCCTGGTGACTGGTTGTAGTGCCTGGTGACTGGTTGTAGAGCCTGGTGACTGGTTGTAGGGCCTGGTGACTGGTTGTAGAGCCTGGTGATTGGTTGCAGAGCCTGGTGACTGGTTGTAGAGCCTGGTGACTGGTTGTAGAACCTGGCGACTAGTTGTAGAACCTGGTGACTGGGTTTGTAGAGCCTGGTGACTGGTTGTAGAGCTTAGTGACTGATTGAAGTGACTGGTGACTGGTTGTAGAGCCTGGTGACTGGTTGTAGAGCCTGGTGACTGGTTGTAATGCCTGGTGACTGGTTGTAAAGCCTGGTGACTGGTTGTAAAGCCTGGTGACTGCTTGAAGTGACTGCTGACTGGTTGTAGAGCCTGGTGACTGGTTGTAGAGCCTGGTGACTGGATGTAGAGCCTGGTGACTGGTTGTAGTGCCTGGTGACTGGTTGTAGAGCCTAGTGACTGATTGAAGTGACTGGTGACTGGTTGTAGAGCCTGGTGACTGGTTGTAGTGCCTGGTGACTGGTTGTAAAGCCTGGTGACTGGTTGTAGTGCCTGGTGACTGGTTGTAAAGCCTGGTGACTGGTTGTAGAGCCTGGTGACTGGTTGTAAAGCCTGGTGACTGGTTGTAAAGCCTGGTGACTGGTTGTAGAGCCTGGTGACTGGTTGTAAAGCCTGGTGACTGGTTGTAGTGCCTGGTGACTGGTTGTAAAGCCTGGTGACTGGTTGTAGAGCCTGGTGACTGGTTGTAAAGCCTGGTGACTGGTTGTAAAGCCTGGTGACTGGTTGTAAAGCCTGGTGACTGGTTGTAGAGCCTGGTGACTGGTTGTAAAGCCTGGTGACTGGTTGTAGAGCCTAGCCTGGTGACTGGTTGTAGAGCCTGGTGACTGGTTGTAGAGCCTGGTGACTTCTTGTAGTGCCTGGTGACTGGTTGTAAAGCCTGGTGACTGGTTGTAGAGCCTGGTGACTGGTTGTAGTGCCTGGTGACTGGTTGTAGAGCCTGGTGACTGCTTGTAGAGCCTGGTGACTGGTTGTAGAGCCTGGTGACTGCTTGTAGAGCCTGGTGACTGGTTTTTGAGACTGGTGACTGGTTGTAGAGCCTGGTGACTGGTTGTAGAGCCTGGTGACTGGTTGTAGAGCCTGGTGACTGGTTGTAGTGCCTGGTAACTGGTTGTAGACCCTGGTGACTGGTTGTAGAGCCTGGTGACTGGTTGTAGAGCCTGGTGACTGGTTGTAGAGCCTGGTGACTGGTTGTAGTGCCTGGTGACTGGTTTTTGAGACTGGTGACTGGTTGTAGAGCCTGGTGACTGATTGTAGAGCCTGGTGACTGGTTATAGAGCCTTGTGACTGGTTGTAGAACCTGGTAACTGATTGACGTGACTGGTGATTGGTTGTAGAGCCTGGTGACTGGCTTTTGAGACTGGTGACTGGTTGTAGAGCCTGGTGACTGATTGTAGAGCCTGGTGACTGGTTATAGAGCCTTTTGACTGGTTGTAGAACCTGGTGACTGGTTGAAGTGACTGGTGACTGGTTGAAGTGACTGGTGACTGGTTGTAGAGCCTGGTGACTGCTTGTAGTGCCTGATGACTGGTTGTAGGCCTGGTGACTGGTTGTAGAACCTGGTAACGGGTTGTCGTTCCTGGTAACGGGTTGTAGAGCCTGGTGACTGGTTGTAGAGACTGGTGACTGCTTGTAGTGCCTGATGACTGGTTGAAGAGCCTGGTGACTGGTTGTAGAACCTGGTGACTGGTTGTAGACCTTGGTGACTGGTTGTTGAGCCTGGTGACTGGTTGTAGAGCCTGGTGACTGGTTGTAGAGCCTGGTGACTGGTTGTAGACACTGGTGACTGGTTGTAGAGACTGGTGACTGGTTGTAGAGCCTGGTGACTGGTTGTAGAACCTGGCGACTGGTTGTAGAGCCTGGTGACTGGTTGTAGACACTGGTGACTGGTTGTAGAGCCTGGTGACTGGTTGTAGACACTGGTGACTGGTTGTAGAGCCTGGTGACTGGTTGTAGAGCCTGGCGACTGGTTGTAGACCTTGGTGACTGGCTGTAGAGCCTGGTGACTGGTTGTAGAGCCTGGTGACTGGTTGTAGAGCCTGACGACTGGTTGTAGAGCCTGGTGACTGGTTGTAGAACCTGGTGACTGGTTGTAGAGCCTGGTGACTGGTTGTAGAACCTGGTGACTGGTTGTAGAGCCTGGTGACTGGTTGTAGAGCCTGGTGACTGGTTGTAGAGCCTGGTGACTGGTTGTAGAGCCTGGTGACTGGTTGTAGAACCTGGCGACTAGTTGTAGATCCTGGTGACTGGTTGTAGGGCCTGGTGACTGGTTGTAGAGCCTGGTGACTGGTTGTAGAACCTGGCGACTAGTTGTAGAACCTGGTGACTGGTTGTAGGGCCTGGTGACTGGTTGTAGAGCCTGGTGATTGGTTGCAGAGCCTGGTGACTGGTTGTAGAGCCTGGTGACTGGTTGTAGAACCTGGCGACTAGTTGTAGAACCTGGTGACTGGGTTTGTAGAGCCTGGTGACTGGTTGTAGAGTCTGGTGATTGGTTGTAGAGCCTGGTGACTGGTTGTAGAGCTTAGTGACTGATTGAAGTGACTGGTGACTGGTTGTAGAGCCTGGTGACTGGTTGTAGAGCCTGGTGACTGGTTGTAGTGCCTGGTGACTGGTTGTAAAGCCTGGTGACTGCTTGAAGTGACTGCTGACTGGTTGTAGAGCCTGGTGACTGGTTGTAGAGCCTGGTGACTGGATGTAGAGCCTGGTGACTGGTTGTAGTGCCTGGTGACTGGTTGTAGAGCCTAGTGACTGATTGAAGTGACTGGTGACTGGTTGTAGAGCCTGGTGACTGGTTGTAGTGCCTGGTGACTGGTTGTAAAGCCTGGTGACTGGTTGTAGTGCCTGGTGACTGGTTGTAAAGCCTGGTGACTGGTTGTAGAGCCTGGTGACTGGTTGTAAAGCCTGGTGACTGGTTGTAAAGCCTGGTGACTGGTTGTAGAGCCTGGTGACTGGTTGTAAAGCCTGGTGACTGGTTGTAGTGCCTGGTGACTGGTTGTAAAGCCTGGTGACTGGTTGTAGAGCCTGGTGACTGGTTGTAAAGCCTGGTGACTGTTTGTAAAGCCTGGTGACTGGTTGTAAAGCCTGGTGACTGGTTGTAGAGCCTGGTGACTGGTTGTAAAGCCTGGTGACTGGTTGTAGAGCCTAGCCTGGTGACTGGTTGTAGAGCCTGGTGACTGGTTGTAGAGCCTGGTGACTTCTTGTAGTGCCTGGTGACTGGTTGTAAAGCCTGGTGACTGGTTGTAGAGCCTGGTGACTGGTTGTAGTGCCTGGTGACTGGTTGTAGAGCCTGGTGACTGCTTGTAGAGCCTGGTGACTGGTTGTAGAGCCTGGTGACTGCTTGTAGAGCCTGGTGACTGGTTTTTGAGACTGGTGACTGGTTGTAGAGCCTGGTGACTGGTTGTAGAGCCTGGTGACTGGTTGTAGAGCCTGGTGACTGGTTGTAGTGCCTGGTAACTGGTTGTAGACCCTGGTGACTGGTTGTAGAGCCTGGTGACTGGTTGTAGAGCCTGGTGACTGGTTGTAGAGCCTGGTGACTGGTTGTAGAGCCTGGTGACTGGTTTTTGAGACTGGTGACTGGTTGTAGAGCCTGGTGACTGATTGTAGAGCCTGGTGACTGGTTATAGAGCCTTGTGACTGGTTGTAGAACCTGGTAACTGATTGAAGTGACTGGTGATTGGTTGTAGAGCCTGGTGACTGGCTTTTGAGACTGGTGACTGGTTGTAGAGCCTGGTGACTGATTGTAGAGCCTGGTGACTGGTTATAGAGCCTTTTGACTGGTTGTAGAACCTGGTGACTGGTTGAAGTGACTGGTGACTGGTTGAAGTGACTGGTGACTGGTTGTAGAGCCTGGTGACTGCTTGTAGTGCCTGATGACTGGTTGTAGGCCTGGTGACTGGTTGTAGAACCTGGTAACGGGTTGTCGTTCCTGGTAACGGGTTGTAGAGCCTGGTGACTGGTTGTAGAGACTGGTGACTGCTTGTAGTGCCTGATGACTGGTTGAAGAGCCTGGTGACTGGTTGTAGAACCTGGTGACTGGTTGTGGTTCCTGGTAACGGGTTGTAGAGCCTGGTGACTGGTTGTAGTGCCTGGTGACTGGTTGTAAAGCCTGGTGACTGGTTGTAGAGCCTGGTGACTGATTGTAGAGCCTGGTGACTGGTTGTAGTGCCTGGTGACTGGTTGTAAAGCCTGGTGACTGGTTGTAGAGCCTGGTGACTGGTTGTAGAGCCTGGTGACTGGTTGTAGTGCTTGGTGACTGGTTGTAAAGCCCGGTGACTGGTTGTAGAGCCTGGTGACTGGTTGTAGTGCCTGATGACTGGTTGTAGAGCCTGGTGACTGGTTGTAGTGCCTGGTAACTGGTTGTAGACCCTGGTGACTGGTTGTAGAGCCTGGTGACTGGTTGTAGAGCCTGGTGACTGGTTTTTGAGACTGGTGACTGGTTGTAGAGCCTGGTGACTGATTGTAGAGCCTGGTGACTGGTTGTAGAGCCTGGTGACTGATTGTAGAGCCTGGTGACTGGTTATAGAGCCTTGTGACTGGTTGTAGAACCTGGTAACTGGTTGCAGTGACTGGTGACTGGTTGAAGTGACTGGTGACTGGTTGTAGAGCCTGGTGACTGCTTGTAGTGCCTGATGACTGGTTGTAGACCCTGGTGACTGGTTGTAGAACCTGGTAACGGGTTGTCGTTCCTGGTAATGGTTGTAGAGCCTTGTGACTGGTTGTAGAGCCTGGTGACTGCTTGTAGTGCCTGATGACTGGTTGAAGAGCCTGGTGACTGGTTGTAGAACCTGGTGACTGGTTGTGGTTCCTGGTAATGGGTTGTAGAGCCTGGTGACTGGTTGTAGAGTCTGGTGACTGGTTGTAGTTCCCGGTGACTGGTTGTAGAGACTGGTGACTGGTTGAAGTGCCTGGTGACTGGATGTAGTGCCTGATGACTGGTTGTAGTTCCCGGTGACTGGTTGTAGAGACTGGTGACTGGTTGAAGTGCCTGGTGACTGGATGTAGTGCCTGATGACTGGTTGTAGTTCCCGGTGACTGGTTGAAGAGCCTGGTGACTGGTTGTAGAACCTGGTGACTGGTTGTGGTTCCTGGTAATGGGTTGTAGAGCCTGGTGACTGGTTGTAGTTCCCGGTGACTGGTTGTAGAGACTGGTGACTGGTTGAAGTGCCTGGTGACTGGATGTAGTGCCTGATGACTGGTTGTAGAGCCTGACGACTGGTTGAAGTGACTGGTGACTGGTTGAAGTGACTGGTGACTGGTTGTAGAGCCTGGTGACTGGTTGTAGTTCCTGGTGACTAGTTGTAGAGCCTGGTGACCGGTTGTAGTTCCCGGTGACTGGTTGTAGAGCCTGACGACTGGTTGAAGAGCCTGGTGACTGATTGTAGAGCCTGACGACTGGTTGAAGAGCCTGGTGACTGGTTGAGGAGCCTGGTGACTGGTTCCCAACACTGCCCTAACTGGTGACATTCACTGGTGCTCTTCCTTCACAGACTGGGAAGCAGCTGAGCAACTTCGGGTTGTCACGAGCGAACAACGGGCAGTACCCGGTGCCCTCCTGCCTCCTCGTCCTCTTCACCGAACTCACTAAATTCACCATCGTACTCACCTGTGCTGCGGTGAGTCGCGTCTTTCTGTCAAGCATTACCTCATCCCTGAGACATAGTGGGGTGTGTACATAGTGGGGTTGGTACATAGTGGGGTTGGTACATAGTGGGGTTGGTACATAGTGGGGTTGGTACTAGTGGGGTTGGTACATAGTGGGGTTGGTACATAGTGGGGTTGGTACATAGTGGGGTTGGTACATAGTGGGGTTGGTACATAGTGGGGTTGGTACGTAGTGGGGTTGGTACATAGTGGGGTTGGTACATAGTGGGGTTGGTACATAGTGGGGTTGGTACATAGTGGGGTTGGAACATAATGAGGTTGGTACATAGTGGGGTTCACAGTCCTCACTATGTGAACAGTTCACAGTTACAGTCCTGTTACCTAGCATGTCAGGGTCCGGGTTCTGGGTATGTCATATTCCTGGTACCTGGCATGTCACCGTCCCTGTACCTGACACGTCCCGCAGGCACAGTAGCTCTGCCCATACCAACTCTCCCTCAGCAAGTGACCTCCGTCCACCAACACTTGGTCTCAGGACTCTCATGTTGCCGGCTTCAGGTGATGGGCGTGTCCGTGGCCAGGTGGCGGTTCTCCGTCAGGTTCTGCGTGCCCGCCGTCTGCTACTTCGTCACCAACTTCCTCTACCTCCTCTCCATCACCTCCGTCCCTCCCCCCATCTGGATGGTCCTCATTCAGACGCGGACGCTCTACACCGCCGCCTCGTACCGGGTGAGTCCCTGGTGCTTGGTACATGGCATTTCTTGCCTGTTAACGTTTTGATATTTTGTGAGTCTGTGAGTGCCTTGTGAACGGCATGTTGTGGTATGTGGTATGTGGTATTAATCTCGCATGTCCCGGCACCTGTTGCCTGGTATGTCACGGGCTCGGTACCTGGTGCCTGGTATGAAACAGTCCTGGTACCAGACGCTTGGTATAATTTCCTGGTATCCCTTATTTAGCACATCCACCAAAAGTGGGCTGCATAGTCTCTCCCTCAGCTCTCATCCGCACATTCCAGACACTCAGCTTACGCTCTCAGTCAACGCACTCAGACCCCAGGTATTCACACACACACTTAGACCCTAGCCACCCACACACACACTCAGGCCCCAGGCACTCACACACACACACTCAGACCCCAGGTATTCACACACACACTTAGACCCTAGCCACCCACACACACACTCAGACCCCAGGCACTCACACACACTCAGACCCCAGGCACTCACACACACACTTAGACCCTAGCCACCCACACACACACTCAGGCCCCAGGCACTCACACACACTCAGACCCCAGGTATTCACACACACACTTAGACCCTAGCCACCCACACACACACTCAGGCCCCAGGCACTCACACACACTCAGACCCCAGGTATTCACACACACACTTAGACCCTAGCCACCCACCCACACACACACTCAAGCGTACGAACTCACGTGCAGATGATGTTCGGGCGTGAGGTGACGCAGACACAGGTGCTGGGGTGCGTGTTGGTGGTGGGCAGCATCCCCCTGGCCAGGCTGGCCGAGATCAACACCTCCAACACCACCATCACCTCCGCTGTCCTCCTCAACTCTCAGGTGTGCGCCGTCCTCTCCACCGCCGCCTCCATCGCTGTTGAGGTGAGTGGCAGCGTCATCACCAACATCACCTCATCACAGTCATCATCATCATTATCCCATCACAGTCATCATCATCATTACGTCATCACTATCTGTTAAGTCATGCCCCCAAGCAAGACTCGTGGAGTAGGGCAGGACCAACCCTTCTCCGTAATTAGGTGGTATTTCATCAGGCCAGCAGTCTTTTTCAAGGACACACATTTCACTTAGCAGTGATTTATACATGCTTTGAGGTTCAGAAGTTTGAGAGCCTTCCATGGATGTTGTCGTGAACATACGAAGCTGTAAATTGTTCGCAAGACTAGTAAGAAACTGTTGATAATTAGTGGAGAAAATTTTCTTGTTGCGTGTTATGCTAATTCCTCTAATCTTCCGTTTTTCAGTTGCCTTTTGAGCTTTTAAAATTCTAATGCCAGGTTTCTCTTTTAGTTCATGCAATGATCTTATGCTCCTTTGAATAAGTTTGTCAGCATACACAATCGAAGTAGTACGTTTCTGTAGACACTCTGACAGTAAACCAAGTTCATGCAACGTGTTATACATTAGAGCTAAATCCTATAGAAACTGTTCTGAAGTTCGCTTTTTCAACAGACATTCATAGGTTTTTCAATCATTTCCAAATCTTGTTTCATCTTTAACTGCTTTTTCAAAATGAAAACAAAGTGTTTCATAATTTTTCCACACTACTGAAACAGTTTAAAACCAGCTGGCCACCCACCTAGTGCTCAGAACACGGCCTCTGGCCACCCACCTGGTGCTCAGAACACGGCCTCTGGCCACCCACCTGGTGTTCAGAACACGGCCTCTGGCCACCCACCTGGTGTACAGAACACGGCCTCTGGCCACCCACCTGGTGTTCAAAACACAGCCTCTGGCCACCCACCTGGTGCTCAGAACACGGCCTCTGGCCACCCACCTGGTGCTCAGAACACGGCCTCTGGCCACCCACCTGGTGTTCAGAACACGTCCTCTGGCCACCCACCTGGTGTTCAGAACACGGCCTCTGGCCACCCACCTGGTGTACAGAACACGGCCTCTGGCCACCCACCTGGTGTTCAAAACACAGCCTCTGGCCACCCACCTGGTGCTCAGAACACGGCCTCTGGCCACCCACCTGGTGCTCAGAACACGACCTCTGGCCACCCACCTGGTGTTCAGAACACGGCCTCTGGCCACCCACCTGGTGCTCAGAACACGGCCTCTGGCCACCCACCTGGTGCTCAGAACACGGCCTCTGGCCACCCACCTGGTGCTCAGAACACGGCCTCTGGCCACCCACCTGGTGCTCAGAACACGGCCTCTGGCCACCCACCTGGTGCTCAGAACACGGCCTCTGGCCACCCACCTGGTGCTCAGAACACGGCCTCTGGCCACCAACCTGGTGCTCAGAACACGACCTCTGGCCACCAACCTGGTGCTCAGAACACGGACTATTTTGCAAATCTCTTGTTCAAGTTGAGTGGCACATTCAGATAGTTCCTTTTGATTTAGAGGTGATGAATTGTAAATTGAGTACAATTTATCCATAAATGATTGAAAAATATTAATTCCTTGAATTTCTTTTACTGAATCACCTACTGCAAGTTTTAATATGTGATTAAGACAGTGCCAGATTATTATATAAGGGTAATTACACACAGAGATCACACTAACGCGATGCATCAAATCCCTTGAATCCTCGTCACGGCCCTCTTGGATTTGTTTATATAAGGGTAATGTTCCTTGAGAATTGCTGCAACGCCAGATTTGACACCAAGCATGACACCCTATCACTAACAAACGCTTCAAGGTTCTGTTTCAATGGACACATGTTAACACATATCCTTCAGGCAGCTATCCAAACTATCTTCTCCTTTCACGAGTCAGCCCGACAGATGTTATGTCCATCATTCTCTCACCGAACACCAAACCTGGGGAACATTAGTGAAATACCATCCATGGTATACAAGAGTGCCTCCCATGTCCATGCACCACCCATAGCTCTGCTGTTCAACAAATCTCTAGTGTCATACCTTCCCTGATATCCCTAAAAAGAACGAGTAACACAAGTTCATAAAGGAGGCAATCCGGCAGACATAAACAATTACAGACCAATATCAAACCTTCCCATATTATAAAAAATATTTGAAAAAAATATTTACAAACAGCTCTACTCCCACCTCGTAAATATCGACATACTCAACCCCTGTCAGTTTGGCTTCCGCTCCCAAAAGAGTACCAACGATGCAATTATTAGTCTGCTTAATATAATCTACTAAGCCCTTGATAAAAATGAGTTTCCTATTGGACTCTTCATTGACCTGAGAAAGGCCTTTGATACTTTTAACAACAATTACCTCTTACTTAAACTCCACCATTGTGGAATACGAGGCCTTACCCTGAACTATATCCGATCCTATCTTAGTGACAGACACTAATATGTCGCCATCAATGATATAACCCCTCCCATTCTACCATTAACCATAGGAGTGCCACAGGGCAGCATCCTAGTTAAGACCTCTCCTTTTTCTTATATACATCAATGATCTGCCTATTGTCTCTAACATTTTTAAACTTATATTGTTTGCTGACGATACTACCCTCATCTTCTCAGACCCCAACCCACATATATTAAATAATGTTGTAAATAATCAATTAAAAGTTCACTTATGGATGTCAACCAACAAACTCACACTAAACATAGAAAGACCTACTACATCTTATTTGGAAGCAAATCAACAAATGCAATTCAGCTTCAGATAGACAATGTTAACATCAGTAATAAAAATGATGGAAAGTTCCTTCGCCTATACTTAAACAAGAGACTCAACTTCAGCACCCACATACAACACAACTAAGAAAATCTCTAAAACAGTTCTTATACTCTCTAAAATCAGATATTACGTACCTAACTGTGCTCTCCTCTCACTGAACTACGCATTAATCTATCCCTATCTTATGGTATATGTGCATTGGGTTCAACCACTGCAAACTACCTCAAGTCCAACATAACCCAGTAAAAATCTGCTATCAGAACAATAACAAACTCTGCTTTCTGACACCACTCAGCTCCCCTGTTTAAATCCCTAAACATGCTAAACATAAACACACCCCACACATTCTCTTGTGCCATTTACATTTACAAAACCTTGTTCTTAAATGCGAACCCTGCTCTGAAACTCGCCCTGGACAGATGTAATAGGGCTCATAATCACCATACCGGAAATAAATATCTCTTTGATATCCCCAGAGTCAAACATAATCTGTGTAAACACTCTATGCAAATAAAGGGACCTAGTGTATGGAACTCACTCCCTAACGATTTGAAAAGCTGTCCAACTTTTGCCTTATTCAAAAACAAAAAATACCTAATTTCATCTTCATATTTTCCTACCTAGTGCTTTAAACTCGCATTGTATCTGGTGCTACACAATCCCCCAATTTATGTACCTAACTTTACCATTGTAATCATTTATATCATCTGATATCATGGTTGTTATATTGAGTGCATATTCTACTGCATTATTCCTTGAAATGATCCCCAAATTGTGCTTCATTGAATCAATTAAGAACCTTCAAATGTTAACCTAATGTACCTAGTAATTTTTGTCATTATTGTGTTTTGTCATTATTGTGTTTTAATCTTATCTTTGTGTATTGTGTCAATTTTTTTTAAATGTACCTGTAAACATTATTTGTCAATTTTGCTGGAAATTATTTACTTAAAATTATCTGTTAGATTAAGGACTTGCCCGTAGATATGCACACTAGTGGCTTTACAAGAATGTAAATTCATCATTGCTATGTACTCTCTTAACCCCTAATAAATACCATCTTGTATATAATATAAATAAATAAATAAGTCTCAGGCTTGTTGACTGATCGATGAGAACATAAATTTTGTCATTTATCTGCTTGATATGCTGGCAAATTTTATTTTTCATATGAATGGATATGTGATTAATTATCTCTGTGGCATTAATGCGGGAATGCAGTTTCATTCCAATGTCAACACCATTTTGCTTTTGTAGTTCCAGTAAGCCAAAGTGATGAGAGAATGGTCTATCATTCTGAGCTAAATAATATGCAGAACGCAAAATTTATCAAGTTGTCATTAGATGCGAAGCATTCATGGCATCACACAATTTTCCAAGAACATCTTCACAAGCTATACAAGCTACACGTGAAGCAGCAGTGTCAGCTTTCGATAGTCTACGATCAAAAATATTTTTTCTGGGAGACTTCAAGCGTCTACATCAATCTGCTCCATAATAGGATACTTGATATATCTGCCACTCATTTGATAATCTTAAACCCTTAGAAGTGAAAAGTGTTACATTGCTTATGTTTGCACATAATTTATACCCAAGTTTATCATCCCTGAAGTCAAACCATGGATAGGTTTCCTTTACTTCTTCCACATTTCTTCAGTCCAAACACCTGAACAGCGATACAAGTTAGACTTCAGAGAACCATTACTTTCTGAATTGCACATGGGGTCCAGTTTGAAAATTTGAACTAGAAGCAGTCGCAACACAACTTTTGCCACTTTCATTGTTTTCATTATCAGTCTCCTTTACGTTATTCTTCTTACACTCCGCATTTTGTTTATGAAAGAAGGAAGTCAACATTGTTTGCTTAGAAGCCATGATGATGATGGGGTTGTTTATGATGAAAACTGCTTCTGTATCAGTGAGAAAACCAGGGACCACCACACCACCAGGTGGCTGGTGGTCCCAGCCACCACCAGGGACCACCAGCCACCACCAGGGACCACCAGGGACCACCAGCCACCACCAGGGACCACCAGCCACCACTCTACTAATGCCACTGAAACACACAAGCAGAGTTGCCAACTCAATAATTCACACGACGCAACAACCACCCCAAAAGCACTAAATTATGTAAAGTTGTGTGTAGCAGTTTTGTCGTTTTACCTGCCTGGTATTTAATACTAAAATATACTACTGTATGAATAAAGAATACCTGTCTAATGAACTACTGCTAAAGCCATGAACATTATCACTGAATTATTGTATCCAAAGCGGTAGGTTTGCAACTGTCTCATACTGTTTGTCTGGCATAAGTGGACAGGAAGCGGTCACGTGCGTCGGGTATTATGTGTACACATTCCTACCACTACAATTCAGCTTGTGTACTTTTTTAAATACTGTATATAAACATTTAAATATTATTGAATCTTTAAAAAACGAAGAAATATCATAATATTATTAACTTATTAGTGATGTAATACTATTGCAGGCGATGAGTCACAATAACGTGGCTGAAGTATGTTGACCAGACCACACACTAGAAGTGTAAGGGACGACGACGTTTCGGTCCGTCCTGGACCATTCTCAAGTCGATTTGAGAATGGTCCAGGACGGACCGAAACGTCGTCGTCCCTTCAACTTCTAGTGTGTGGTCTGGTCAACATGTAATACTATTATTTTCCTGCCACGATCAACCATCACCCACAAGCCCTCCTCTCCCCCTCCCCCCTCATTCTCTCTCCCTTTCCCCCATTCCATCATCACTGTTCCAGCGAGCTCCGGCAGCACTGCACACAGCATGAAATATAACATATAATATAAGTATAATAGAATACAAAGCAATACACGTGTATATAATACCATTTTAAAATAGATAATGACACTTGACACTTAAATATATGACCTCAGCGTATCCCGTCTGAACTGGTTAGGCAGGGGTCATAACACAGTCATCACCAGCATTACCTCTTCAGTCATCACCAATATTACCTCATCATTGTCATCACCATCATTAACTCATCACAGCCATCATAATTATTACCTTATCACAGTCATCATAATCATTACCTCATCACAGTCATTACCTAATCACAGTCGTTATAGTCATCACCACAGCGTCATCACCATAGAGTCATCACCATAGAGTCAACAACATAGTCATCGCATGTCTAAATTCTAAATTATTTTTAAAATCAGGAGCACAAAGTAATTTGTCATTTTGTACTCTGTTCTTAGTGTCCCCAAGTGAGAGGTGCAGTGTGTATAGTGTCCCCGAGTGAGAGGTGCAGTGTGTATAGTTAGTGTCCCCGAGTGTGAGGTGCAGTGTGTATAGTTAGTGTCCCCGAGTGAGAGGTGCAGTGTGTATAGTTAGTGTCCCCGAGTGTGCACTCCCTACTGTCCACACCTTCCACGCACACACCCACATCTAGGAAGAGTACATCTGCTACGGTTTACATGTCTGCCTCGGATAACTCCTCCCACTACCACAGATCCTGCTAAAGAACGACGAACGCAGCTTCTGTGAGCAGCAGGTGTGGCTCTACATGTGTGGGTCCCTGCTTGCGACCGTGGCCCTCCCGCTCCAGACGGATGTCACCACTCTTCCCCAGCTACTGGAGGCGAGTCTCCCTCCCGCTCCAGCCTGACGTCCCCTCTCTTCCCCAAGGAACCCTTATATTCCACCTCATATTAACTCAGTGTCATGTAGTCTGGTCTGATCTGGTTGTAAATAATATTTAGCGGTTCATTTATTGTCATGCTCATTTTATTTAAATGTGATTCCAAGTTTGTAGTTATTTTAATATGTTGTTTCGGTATGTTAGAGTCTGGAAGCAGTGTTAGTCAAGCAAGAATTTTATAATTCGGTAAAAGAACACAACGGGTCCGTCAAATGTGCTATATACTTAGTCACACTTAAAACTTGATGCTAATATCATATCAATAGCTCAGTCCAAAATTAAACTTGATTATCCTCAGGAATAACGGGAAAACCTTCGACTTGCCATCAGCTTCCTTTGCCGTAGAGGCCACTAAAGATTGGGGCTTTCAGATAAATTCAGGTATTCTGAGTAATGAGTGTAGAAAAAAGGTACAATTTACTTGTTTACCTTCAAATGCCAAAAGTTTTCTTTAATTCTAAGAACTAGAAATTTTTAACGGGAGACTTGAGTATTTATTGTGAACAACATAAAGAGACAAGGTGACATTGGGTTTCCTCTTTGTCGGGGAAACTAAGCCTGTACTTAGGTTAAGGAACATTTCCCCAGGCCACAGCAAAATACATCATAACATTACTTTACATAACATACTATTATTATTATTAATATTAATATTAATATTAATATTAATATTAATATTAATATTAATATTAATATTAATATCAATATTAATATTCATATTATTATACCGTTAATACGACCATGAAGCACGTTAATGAAGAAAAAACATGGGAGCAGTGAAGCACGTAGACGTTCCTCAACTCGCGGGAGCCGCGGTAAACAAAACACATTAAGAACAATGTCTTATGAATAATCAAACAAACCTTAAAAGAAAGAAAAGAAAGTGGTTATTCAGCAAGCATATAAGCCAAAGTTTGCTTACTTTAGGTTGTACCTGGACATGACTTTCCACCGCCGCCCATTGGATGTATGGGCGTGCATTATTGCATTATTAGTAAATTCGTTTTTGTCAGGACTGGAAGCCTACGTATATGTATACATAGACTTGTATCGTGTCCCCCTCCCAAAGTCGAACTAATGACCTTCCCTAGCATACAACCCCACAATATCAAAAGGGGAGACATGATCACCACTTACAAAATCGTCAGCTGATTTGACAGGATGAAAAAAGACAAACTATTTAGCACAGGCGGAACACGAACAAAGGGACACAGGTGGAAACGTAGTGACTTAATGAGCAACAGAGATATTAGACGGAATTTTTCAGTGTCAGAGTACTGTAGTTAACAAATGGAATGCATTAGGCAGTGATGTGATGGAGGAAAACTCCATACAGTTTCATATGAAGATAAGATAGAGCTCAATAGGCTCAGGAATCTGTACTCCAGCTGAGTGACAGCTGCAAGGCGGGACCAAAGAGCCGAAGCTCAACCCCGCTAACACAACTAGGTGAGTACAACAGTTACCTATCGCCCGGGTACCTACTTACTCCTCGGTGAACAGCGGCATTTGGTGGAAGGAAACACGCGCAACCATTTCTGTCCTGGCCGAGAATCGAATCTGGGATCCCCGATTGTGAAGTGATAACAATTTATCTATTATCAACTATAATAGGAGACTCTTGATGATATACATCATTATCTGCTCTAGTTTTAAGTATTTAATTTAAACGTTAAGAACATGATTTAAAGATTCTCACTGTAACTGTGCATCAGTGACTAGTTTTAACTATCTTGTTTAAAGCTGGATACAATTACGTTAATTTATAAATGAATCACTACGTATAAATTCCCAGTGAATATCTCAACAAATTCTATAGTCATTATTTGAAAATAAAAAAAAAGCATATCTCTATATATAACTTCTAAATCGTGTTAATAACTTGCATACTTCATATATATTGTTATTAAGCGGAAAAAAACACATTTGAAGAATTAGGGAATGCTGATCGCGTTTCCGGCTCAATTCCCCTTGATCAGAACAAGATAGAGAGAGTCTTTATGTTGCTCTTGACTATCTTCACTCTCTGTCTTGCTCTGATGAAGGCGAATTGAGCCGAAAACTGGTTCAGCATTCTCCAATTCTTTAAATTGGTGTTTTTTTCATACGTGGATCAGTGGTTTTGTGGTCGTTGTTGCATGTTGTTATTAATATTATTGTTATTTTCAGCATTATTAATATAATACAAGTGTTGGTAATGATAATTATTATTGCATACAGAGTTTGTTAGAGAACCACATCATGAGTCTCCGTGTGGCGGCCGCTGTGGTATCGTCAGCTCTGGCTGGGCTCTGTGTCCCTTTTATTGTTAAAAGCCTCGATAGCATCGCTAAGGTGAGAGTAGAGAGAGCGAGAGAGTGTGTGTTAGTGCCTTTATCACACGTTTTGAGAAACTGTTTTCAAATTACCGATTAACAGAACTTTTGAAGTATAGCCACTAAGCCCCCCCCCCCCTTCCCCTGTTATAAGCCCAAACTAAGAGATCATTTAAAATGAGCATAATTCCAGCCATAATGTGAGCCTTAATATAGTGTGTGGGCTGACTACAGGACTACCTGGCGGCGCTCAACAACCTGCTGCTCTCGGTGGTGACGGCGGCGGTGTTCCCGCTCCACTTCACCATCAGCTGGGTCTTCGGGGTGTCCCTCGGGGTCCTGCTCCTCGGTATATGGCTCTATGAAAGAAAGTTCATCTTCAAGGAGCCCTGATCCTGCCCCTCTCGGTGAGTATATATATATATATATATATATATATATATATATATATATATATATATATATATATATATATATATATATATATATATATATATATATATATATATATATATATATATATATATATATATATATATATGTCGTTATCTTATTTGCCTAATAAGCCAAGTTTTCATGAATTAATGTTTTTTCGACTACCTAACCTAACCTAACTTTTTCGCCTACCTAACCTAACCTATAAAGTTAGGTTAGGTAGGGTTGGTTAGGTTCGGTCATATATCTACGTTAATTTTAACTCTAATGAAAAAAATTTACCTCATACATAATGAAATGGGTAGCTTTATCATTTCATAAGAAAAAAATTAGAGAAAATATATTAATTCAGGAAAACTTGGCTTATTAGGCAAATCGGGCCTTGCATAGTAGGCTGAGAAGTGCATTCTGGCTACTAGGTACGACATATATATATATATATATATATATATATATATATATATATATATATATATATATATATATATATATATATATATATATATATATATACAGTACTTCTTAACGAATGGAAAGTTTAGGATAATACAGAGCTCATGTAGACAGTTGCTGTTATCTTTTGTAAAGCATCAGTTTAATGTTATCTTATTGGAGCTATTAAAACGTGATAACCTTATGGATATTATGATGGTCTTATCACTAGTCTGATTGTTTATCCCCATCAACAATCTTTCCTGTCTCCCATAGTCTCCCACCTGCACCCGCCCGCGCGTCAACACCCACACCCACGTAAACGCCCATGTCAACACCAGCGTTCACATCAACGCCCCCATCATCGTCCACGCCAGCGTCCACGCCCACGTTTCTAATGGGCACCCAGGAACGAGTAACTTTAGCTCTACGTCGAATCAACGTTATCAACGTTGAACCAACGCTGCTCTTGGATACTGTAGCCAGTGGGTTCATACCGGAGCAGCTCATGCCGCTCCAGGAGGAGGGGGACAAGAGAAGCAAACTCCTGGTTCAACAGGTAATATAGGGAAGTTGAAGGAAGGAGAACAAGTGTGGTACAAGTACCAGGAGCTGGTAACAAACGACAGTAGAAAGGTACTATAGAGCACCAGAAATGAATACACCAAAGACAATTTGAAAATGGCATTGTGACAAAAGTTAAGGGCCAACCAAATCTGTTCTATAACCATATAAGGAGAAAAACAGCGAGACATCACGAGAAAACAAGGAGAAGTCTCACTGAAAACGATAACGAGGTATGTGAGGAACACAACAAAATATTTCAGGAGGTATTTAGAGTAGAACCAGCATGGAAAGGAAGGCTGCGAGATGTAAAGCCAGGAAAAATCAATGCATGATATTATAGTCATGACAGAAACTAGATGTGACAATATCAATGGGACCAGATTTAATCTCATCATGACTGCCGAAAGGGGCTATATAGGTACTTTGTTACTCATTATCTAACATTTTTATATAATGCTTGCGACAGGAAAAGTGTAGAGAAAGTAAAGCATAGTCCCAATATTAAAAAAAGGGTATAGACAGGAGTCACTAAATGATTGACCGGTGTCTTTGACAAGTATTCCTTGTAAAGTGTTGGGGAAAGAAATCAGGTTGAGAATGATGGAGCAACTGGAGAGGACCAACTATTTGACAAAACGTTAGCAAGGATTTCGAAATAGAACGTTGTGCCTGACAAACCTAACTTGAGTTCCGTGAAAGGGTAACTAAAATATGCCAGGTTTTCCTAGATTTGCAAAAAAAAAACTTTTGACACTGTTCCTTGTGAAAGGCTGGCGTACAAGATGGATACACAGACTGGGATAACTGGAACAACACTGAACTGGGTACAAAAAGCACGTGAAAGACATAATGCAAAAAATCACAGTCACAGAGGACGGTTCAAACTAGTTGACTGTAACAAGTGGGGTCCCACAAGGCTTGGTCCTGGGACGCTGCTGTTCCTAATTCTTGTGAACGATCTACCCGAGGGAGTGAGCATGTACATATCAATGTTTCCAGTTGCCGCAAAGCTGATGAGGAAAACAAACACAGAGGAACACTGCAGGTAGTCACAGTAGGACCTATAGGCAAACTCCAGGAGAGGGTAAACAAATGGTTGCTGGAATTTAATGCCAACAAATATAAGGTAATGCTAATGGAAATGGGAGAAATTAAACCAGGAGGCATCTATATCATGCCGGGAGGGCAACTATAGGAATCGGAAAGAGAAATATTTAGGAATGGACATAACTCCAACACTAACACCGGAGACACTCATGAACAGGACAACAAGGAAGTATATTGGACGCTGGAAAACATAAAAACATCGTTTAGAAACCTAAATCACGACTGCTTCAAGGCACTTCACCCATACGTCGCACCTTGTGAAGCACAAAACCAAAACTGAAAAGTACAGAGATTTTCAACAAGAGTGCTCCCAGAGGTGTTAAGTGATGAGCACAGACTAGAATCTCTCAACCCTAGAGGATAGAAGTAACAGAGACGATATGATCAAAACATGGGACATAGTGGACTGTGATAACCGCTCCAGATTAAGAGAAAGTAAGACAAGAGGACACAGGTAGAAGCTGAAAACGCAAATGAGCATAATGAATGTGAGGAAATACTCGTGCCCTGTGCGGGAGGTCAATAAGTGTAGAGCACTGAAACAAGTTGTAAAAAGCACCTCCAGCCACAACGTTAAGGCCAGATTCGACAATCCGAACGTCAGAATAGTTAAGTTGTAACAGGTTCAACAGGTTCAACAGGGCCAGTAGGCGGGGCGTAAACAACTAGACCTCAGTCCCTCGTAGACAGTGATGGGTAATCCTGATACATCAACGCACACCCCAGTGTCCACGCCCCACGCCTACACTGACATGCAACTTAACTTTCAACCGCATTCTAATGAAGTTAAAGTAAAATTTTAGAAGTTTAAGAACTTTATGAAATGGTCCAATGATTTGTTCTTACTAATAAACCATAAGAACATAATAATCGAGCCCACTGCAGATGTTCACTGGTATATGTTAAATAAAAACACATGTGTTATATGTGATTTTTCTACCCTAAGCTCATTATAATAAGACCAAACCATTTTTACTGCAGTAGATCACTTCCATATTAAGTCTTGCAAGACAAAGGTCGTAAATCTCTGCACTCTTGTAATGAGCCACAGAAACCTGCACAGAGGGCTTTGTCAATCGTGAGACTGTAGAGGCGGTTGCCCAGTACATTGCTGATGGTACGCCTGTCTCTCTCCGTCAGGAACGTAAGACTGGCTCCTCTCCTTCTTCCTCCCCGGCGGGTAAGAAGGTTTCAATATATTCCTCACCTTCTAACTCCGACACTATCCCTTCTTCCCCTCCTATATCAGTGGCGGAGACGCCTGTCCCTGCTATGGAGCTTTCCTTGGTATTGATTCTCTTGGATGCTGCCCTGGATCCAGTGCACTCTCCTGTTTCTGTCCTTCCTGCCCCCGATTTCCTTGACCGCTCCTCTCCGATGTCTCCTCAAGCACCGGACTCTGTCAGTCTGCCTCTGGTCCGTCCTCCCGCTGCCTTACCTTCATTATCTTCGCTAGCTTTATCTATGCCCCGGCACCCCGATTTCACTGATCCTGATTTTACTTTGTCTGTGTTCTTCTTTGTCTTTGTTTCTTCCTTGTTATCTCTGTTTCTGTTCTTTCTTTTGACTGTTCTTGAATGGAATATTTGTGGTTTTTATGCCAACTTGTGATCATGCAGTTTTTACCGCTCTGTGTTTGACTCCAAAAGCTGATGCTTGGCACTCGTCATGGTCACTTCTGTGGTTATTCCTTTCTCTCTCTTCCCTTCCAGATTTTGCTGGGGCTCATAACTCTACTGGTCTCTTTATTTGTCATGATATTCCCTTCGTCCCCCCAACTTTTGCTGTCGCATATTCGGTGTTTTGCAGCCCGTATCTTTGTGAGTAAGTGGCATACAGTCAGTTCCATTTATCTCCCCACAAATTTCCTCCTTTCTCTTTCTGATCCTAAACACCTGTTGGACTCCTTACCAAAGCCATGACATCATGCCACCTGCCGGAAGAGACGGAGTTCGTCCGGAGGGAAACTACAGTCCCAAACTGGCCAAAGTACCATCGAAGCAAGGCCTCCGTGAACTCAAACGGCACATCATGCAGTGCCACATACGTTACCGAGCAGCACCAGTCAAAGCTACCGATATGCTACGATACCACCGTCCCCAGGAAGAGGAAACGAGCGCCCATCGTAACGGGCCACGAAGTCCTTATAGACAGCAGGGGAGTTAAACTTCACCAATGCCTGATGGGTGGTTAGAAGTTGGAGCCTGTACACATCGGCAACATGAACACGTAGCATATCCAACAGGACAATCTCAAGGGCAAGGTAAGATGCATGTCCAGAAAATTTAAGACCCACGGTCTCAGAGCGACGAATAGGAGAAGGGGGGTTCCATGGGGGGAGGGGGGTCCCCAATCCGCCGACGCAGCAACAAAGTCCTCCCACACAGAACGCCTAGCAACGCAACCCGTCCTCGACTCAAGTCCATTACATCCAGCGGTCGACCCCACAGACGCATTCATAAATGTTTACATACTGTTCATTCAAAACAGGAATTTTCTCAAATATAAATTAATATTATAATATATTAGTATATTATGCTTATATAGGCATAGGTTAGGTTAGGTTAGGTGATTGGGTTCTGTTGGCGATTATTTGTATTTGTAGTACGTGGGTGAAGCATTTATAGCGTTGTGATTCGAACAAAATTCGTCAGTGAAACACTTGTTCCGGATATGTTCGAACGTCAGCAGTTGTGAGTCGTGTGTAAACCGCATTTCATTCATAAACAGGGGGTTTGGCGGGTGCATGGAATCACTTTTGGATCTTTGTTTGGAAGACGGGCTGAGCAACGACTCAAGGCCAGACTTGTAGTCGTTACTGCAGCTTAGGCTCGGCGACAAGTGTCTCTGGGAGTTTGCACCACCTGCTGGAGTAGACCTGACTCTGATGTAAACTGTCGCTGATGCTCATGAATAGATACTATGTGAAATAGTATCTATTGAATGTGAATAGATACTATGTGAAAAAAATCCCAGAATTTAAAAGAAAATTTTATTACAAAAATTCAAGAAATGCGGCTTTGAATCAACATATGTAATATCAGAAATGGTAGTCAAATGTCCAAAGTTTGCTTATTGTGGATAGTTGATGGTGATTGAAGGGCGACGAATTAGTATGGATAGTACATGCACACATGACTCAAATGTCCACCACAACCCCTCGTTAGATAATTGCGTGATGATGCAACTAACAGGCTTGACAGGAATATAAGGCTGGACTGAGACTGTTTTGGACCCGTTGTTGAACCACTTGCGCTATAAATGATTGCACTTAAACTGTGTTACTAGAATAACAAGACCGTTACCACGATAAATGTATTTGGTTCCCGAGTCCAGTATGGGGTCCATTACTGCCCACTGTACGGGCACTGGGTCCATTACCGCCCACGGGATAGGCACAGGGTTCATTACCGCCACGGGATGGGCACGGGGTTCATTACCACCCACGGGATGAGTATGGTGGACCATTACCACCCATGGGATGGGCCCGGGGTCCAATACCGCCCATGGGATGGGTACAAGGTGCATAATAAATGAACAAAATCAATAGACTGGCTATGTGAGGCCCCATAAGATTAAATGATAGGCACTTGATGGAATAAAAAGCCTACCTTTTATTGTCCCAATTACATTGTTCCCCATAGTTGTTCATCTAGAAGAATGTTAAGAGTTGCAAGGTGATAGGGCACTTTCATTCCTAACTATCTTTCGTACCAACTCCTTGAAAACTTCTGTGAATCGCTGTCAAAAATACATTCGTTTGACCTTGTGCATCATCCCAGGTTGTTTACTCGGGACCCCTGACGCTGAGAACGTTTTCATACTCTGACGTACATGGTTCGATATAGCCTACTGGCTGACCACCATTTAATAATTACTGTCTTCCTGGGTAATGGGTTCCCTGCACGACCTCATTTAAGTGGACATGTACCTCGCCTCGAGCACACGAAGCCTCTCAAGGAGAGCTCCTTTCGTATAGCTAACGTTTGCTCGGTACATGTAATTCTTTACCTAAATATGAATGTGCAAGTTTATATCGACATTGTAATTTTTCTGTGCCTTACTGAGGTATTAAATGTATTATTCGTGCCGTGCGAATCGGCATAATGAGCAAATATAATCATTACTTTTATTTTTCCTTTAAATGATGTGCGGGTTGACCTTGAACCATCCTACATTTTAAACTGCTTTTTTCAAGTATTTCTAAGCGGACTGTATTTTCTAAATTAATTTCCTCCCAGGTGTTATCCAATCTACAAATTTCGAGGGTTGTACTTTAATAATCACCCACCAGAGGTGGGTAACAAGATTACCAATGTTAATTATTCTACAAATTAGCGAGTGAACAATTAAGGCTTAGCTCCAAAGTCGTAATGGCCTGATAAGAAGCCCTCATTTCCATTACTCGCGTATAGGAAACCATGCAGGTGGACACTGTAATAGTGACTCAAGAAACCTCATGGTACTTCAAGTCATCCGACATTCTTCTCTGGTATGGTACCTGCCAAATAAGTGTTAAGTATTGCAATGTTATCAACACACGGAGTATACTCAAAGTAAAGGAGTAAACATCAATATTTTGGCTTACCCATTTTGGTTAATGTCTGCATCATAACCGGGCAATGTTTAATAAAATTATGTAAATGGCCACCACACAATTTTTTTTATTGATAAAAAAACCAAAGTACAAAACAGGCAACAAGGAATGAACAACATAATGATACAAGAAACGTGCCAATATAGGAAACAATACTACAAAAACCATGAAGCACACATAATGTAAATACAAGGAGGCACAGGAAAGAGTACAAAATGCAAGCAGCACAAAACTACAAACAGAACATGACATAACACATGGCACAAGAAACAAACAAATACAACAGAGAAAAGGCATAAGTTATAACAACTAATAGGAACATAAAGACAACCACCCCGTAACACAAAGGGGTGTAAAACATAACAATATCCTGGGCTCCCCAAACCCCCACACAAAGGAGCATAACAGTACACAAGAGACAGGTGCCACATACAAAGGAGTAATAAACACACATAGTATAAATAGCATACAAAGGTACAAGGAATAAAATTTGCACAGAATAAAATAATGAAGCACACACACACAACTCGTGTAACAAACACAGGGAACAACAACACAAACGGAGTCGACTGCTAGCAGCTGTGGAGTGAGGACGTTTACCGACCCTCTGTGGCTGTTGGAGTTGTTTGCTGTTTTGGTCGCCAGGTGGTGTGGGCGTCCCTGCCCCACCAGTTTTGTTGCCTGCCTGGCTGCGTTGACGTGGCAGTTCCTCCTGTTCAGCATGTGAACTCCGTGGGCCTGGAGTTCACTTGTAAGGCTGGTTATCCGACCATCGAGATGGTGATGTGTGACATGCTTCGTGTCCCGGTGGAAGCTGTTTACGGTGTGGAGCTAGTTACGGCCCATCGGGTTGTTATTTAAGTTCGTGGGGGAGGACGAGTACTGGGACTTCCTCCGTCGGTACGGGGGGCGTATGTTGCCGTTGCCAGACGATGCCGGCTCTGTGGCGATTTCGGACCGCAGTGGTGCCCTGACTTATGTCAGTATCCATGGTGCGCCCCTGGAATTCCCTGATGACCTCCTCCGGCGTTACTTCGGGGGGTTTGGTACTGTTGTCAGTGTGCGGGTGAACACGCTCTCCTCGGGGCAGTATGCTGGGAGGCGTACAAACATTCGCACGTTGGGGATGGGCCTGCGGTCGGATATACCTTCTTCTGTCCGGCTTATGGGGTACTACGTCCGGGTGTATTATGCCCGGCAGCCTCGTACCTGTTTCCGGTGTGGCTTGTTGGGGCATCAGGCTGCCGGGTGCTCTGAGGCGTAAATGACGTAATCTTGTATGCTAAAATGAGAGACGTGGATGTGATGTGTTTACAGGAACCATATA